CCCCCTCTCACTCATTCTACGAGCACTGTGCGTCTTTTAGTCACAGTCAGAATCTGATCAGTTTACAGATGACACGCCCACACAGTCAGCTGGTACAACTCATCCTAATTCTTCAGAAAGCTCATTAAATGATGTTTAAGTCTAGGAAGCATTTTCTTTCCTGGAGAGATAAAAAAAACCCCAAACCATTTCATTAAAAAAATCTACCTGCTTTATGTATCTTTTGTCTTTCTTCTTTTTGTTTGTTGCTTTTTTTTCAACTTTTAAGAATTTGAGTTTCAGCAAAATATTTCTTGAACACGCCCATTCAATACCATAGCATAGATTATTAAGAAACTGCAATTGAAAAGAAAAACAAGAATTTCCGAATGTTGGACTTCGTACATAACGTGAATAACTTGTCAACGATCTATCGTCCGCCCCCGCTGTCAGACAGATGTCTCCATCCTTCTCCCAGACACGGGCTGTGGTCTGGCGCTGCTGTCCGGCTCATTGGCAGATATGTGGTAGAAGTATTCTCTCATGCTCGCCGAGATGTTGGAGTCACCCGGCCGAGAGGAATGTGGAGTTCTGTTTGTCACATTTGTCGCTCCGCCTTCTACTCCCCCTCCTCTTCCTCCCCCTCCTCCTACACCTCTTCCTCCTTCCCCGACGCCTCCTCCTCCTCCTCCTCCTCCTTCTCCTCCTCCTCCTTCTCCTCTCCCTCCTCCATCTCCTCCTTCCTCAGCTTCTCTTCTCACTTGTTCATCAACTCTTTCAGAACAACTTCTTTGCTCGGCCTGATTCCCTGAACTGTGCATAAGTGAATTCCTATTTGTACAAGGTTCGGACATGGCACCAGACTGAAATCCCCGAGTTCTAGGCTGGTTTCTCTGACACTCAGACTCGGAACCGCGCTCACTGTGTAAACAGTCCACATCGGAATCATCTTCCGACATCGCGCACACAGATGTGTTCACTTTGGGAAGTGGTCGGAGTTTTAGCGGACGATGTTGATACAATGTCTGATGTTGCTGTTGCTGTTGCTGAGTTGGGCTAGTTTGCTGCTGCTGCTGCTGCTGCTGCTGCTGCTGCTCCAGTTGCTGCTCTGATGACTGTTGCAGAAACACAGTGTCTGTCTCCTCGCTTCCGTTTCTGCTCATTTTATGACACAATTCGGATTCCGCAGAAGCGTGTTTTGTGTTCAGCGCTGTGTATGATTCCCTCCTAGTATTGCTAGAGGACGGAGGGTCTGTGTGTGTACTTCCTCTCTCGTGGTGGTGGCTTTGGAATGGGGAGATAATGGCGATGGGTGGTGAGTGTGTGGTGTGTGTTGTGTGTGGGGTGTGTGTTGTGTGTGATGTGTGTGGGGTGTGTGGGGTGTGTGATGTGTGTGTTGTGTGTGCTGTGTGTGGGATGTATGGGGTAAGTGGTGTGTGTGGGATGTGTGGGATGAGCGGTGTGTGTGGGATGTGTGGGATGTGTGGGATGTGTGGGATGAGCGGTGTGTGTGGGATGAGGGGTGTTGGACGTCCGCTATCGATCACTGGTATCTTCTGCGCGGCCACTGCGCCTGTGCCTGGGTTTGACCCTGTGTTTTGTTTCTCGTCACGTGACTTTGGGATCTGCGTGACTGGCGCGCCATCTGGCGGGAGCACTCGGGAGGGATCAGCGCCTAATCCAATTTCCGTGACGTCGCTAGCCGGAACTCCGGAGGTGGGTCGTCTCCCCCTGCTGGCGGGTTGGTGGGGGAGCGGCAGGGGCGGGGAGGAGTGGATCAGTCGCATCTTTATGGCCTCCTCGTAGTCTGGGGGAGGGGGTG